TCTTTAAAACATGGGTCGAGATATAAGACAACTCATCCCAACAAATACAATTGCTTTCTTTGAAGACCACTCGGACCATTCTGATTTTGTTATAAAAATGTGTTATATTAAAAATGATATTGTTGTTTTAATAAAATTAATATTGTTGTTTTAAATTTTAAGTTGTTTTAAGTTTTGGGCGCTCTGTATACTTATCATAACGTACACATTTCAATTCCATCTTTGAACCATACATGTGACTGAAAATGTTGGCCTCAGTCGTGCTGATTGTTTCCATATCATTGTCTGGTAGAAGTTCCTCAGAATATGACATATCCTTATCTTTATATATGAGTTTCAGTATAGCTGATATCTTGGGATGAGCTATCTTCTATTTCTAACTTGGGGTGAGTTGTCTTATATTGGGATGAGTTGTCTTCGGGATGAGTTGTCTTCCGGATGAGTTGCCAGGTATTCTTTCAAACATATTTGATACATGTTGTGGTTCCTAAGATTTAGTAAGTATCCAGATAATATTGTATGATTTTAGTGGTTGATTTTTATAAATTAATAACAAAAACTGGATGTCCATGGTTTTTAATAAATTAATAACAATATGGCTAGTTTAACAAAGACTGGACGTCCATGGTTTTTATAAATTAATAACAATATGGCAAGTTTAACAAAGACTGGAAGTCCATGGTTTTTATAAATTAATAAACAATCTGCTAGTTTAACAAAGACTGGACGTCCATGGTTTTTATAAATTAATAACAATATGGCAAGTTTAACAAAGACTGGACGTCCATGGTTTTTATAAATTAAGAACAATATGGCAAGTTTAACAAAGACTGGATGTCCAGTTTTTTTTATAAATTAATAACAATCTGCTAGTTTAACAAAGACTGAATGTCCATGGTTTTTATAAATCAATAACAATATGGCTAGTTTAACAAAGACTGGATGTCCATGGTTTTTAATAAATTAATAAACAATCTGCTAGTTTAACAAAGACTGGACGTCCATGTTTTTTTATAAATTAATAACAATATGGCAAGTTTAACAAAGACTGGACGTCCATGGTTTTTATAAATTAATAACAATATGGCAAGTTTAACAAAGACTGGATGTCCAGGTTTTTTTTATAAATTAATAACAATCTGCTAGTTTAACAAAGACTGAATGTCCATGGTTTTTATAAATTAATAACAATATGGCTTGTTTAACAAAGACTGGATGTCCATGTTTTTAATAAATAATAACAATATTGCTAGTTCAACAAAGATTGGACGTCCATATTCTTTGGGTTTTTTTTTTAAATAAATGACATTATTGTTAGTTTAAACATGATTAATGTGCATTATTTAAGGATTTCTGTTTATTTTATTACTGGGGTGTCATCTTGTGACAGCAGGACAGGGAAATAGATACTAGGAGGATGATTTATTATATCGATTAAATTGACACATGTCAACTCAACTATATTATACATATAAGGTCGGAAGGAAATCGTTAAACCACTTGAAATAACAAGCCTTATTAAGACTGTGCAAGACATAATAATTTGTCGTCATAAATCAGCTTGTTCAAAATGCAATTTAATTTGTTGAATATGCAAATTAATTATTGAATATCCAAATTAATATTGAATAATTTGTTGAATATGCAAATTAATTTATTCTAACAGTTTTTAAGGTTTGGTACTTGTAATATTCTAGAACAATGCCCATTGTTTATGCCATGATCACTTGGGACCGGGTATCATTCAGATTTGATGAAAAAAGGAAAGAAAATGAGCTTACCATCTATAATCTAATACAAATATTCAGTTAATAGATTGCCATGCAGAAAGTATTAAATACCATCAAGATTCATTAAATAATGCCCAGTTTGTGCTACCGTTTAGTTTAAGAAACATCAATTAGTTTTGACATCGGTCATCTAGTTTATGACCATTTAGTTTAGTTTTGATATTGGTCATCCAGTTTATGACCATTTAGTTTAATAAACTAGACAACTAATGTCAAACTAAACGGTAGCACAAACTGGGCAGTTTTTGATGAATCTTGATGGTATTGAACACTTTCTGCATGGCAATCTATTAACTGAATATGTGTATTAGATTATAGATGGTAAGTTCAGTTTCTTTCCTTTTTTCATCAAATCTGAATGATACCCTGTCCCTAGTGGATGTCACTGCAAACATTATTTTGCATGTCAACCAATTTAATAATCAGAGTTTTCAAAGGTTGAAACTAGGTCATTTGGGGAGTAAGTATGGTACAAATTAATTGCAATATGACGTTGGACAAGTGACCCCATTTCTTGTCACGTACATGTGTGGGAGAGAGAGAGAGAGAAGGGGGGTTTAACGTCCACTCGACACAATCTAGGTCATTTCAGGACTAACATATTGTTCAATTTTATTTCCATAATTCACTTGAGCGTAGGGGTCTTTAGCAGTGGGAAGAAACCGGAGGACCCAGAGAAAACCCATGAGGTTGGACAGGCGACCTTACTCCTTGTCACATACAACCGGGGAATCGAAACCAAGCCAGTTGAGTCAATGACAGACCGTATGATACAGCACGTACCTACTAAACATTCAGCCATCCACCCCCCCACACAGAGGTCTCAGTCACGCAAAAATCCCCGTATTTCACGCATTTTTTTCAATGTAAACGCAAATATTGATGGACGCTGCGTAATTTACACACCTATACTGTACGTAATCTCCGTAGTTTTTTATATTTCCTCTTATTTCATTCATAAGTTCATGGCAGTAAGCCACGTAGCTATCCTATTGGAAGCAATAAAGCGCATTTCATACAAGACTTGGGATTGGCTAGAACAAGATATACTGTTTGCATTCAGCCAATCAAATGTTGGCTTTCATAGCGATAGTTTTCTCTTTACATCCTGTCGAAGTGAAAGATTGAAATGACTGTGCCATCAACCAAAGACATGCCGTTAACCTCCAGTTGTCATTAGACTAAATACAGCAGGCATATCAATGAAATAAGGACGCTTAAAATAGGGTTGTTCACAAAACGACTTTACATGCTTCTATATTGAGTATTTTGAGAGGCTCTCCACGCAGAGGTAGAGGACAAAAACGCAAAATTTTGAAATGTCTGCGTATTTTTACGCAACTCGAAATTGATCCACTGCGACCTCTGCCCCCACGTGTGAGATCGAAATCATGCCACTTGATTCAATGACAGGCTTTAGGACCTAAGATCACTTGAACACCACGTCGACCCCCACTCCCTTGTTATGACAGGCTTTAGCACCTAAGATCACTTGAACACGTCGACCCCCCACTCCCTTGTTATGATTCTTAACATTATATTATGTAAGATATAACGGCTGATAATTTTAAAGTTGATATCAACAGTATTATGCATGTGTTGAGTGTATACCCAAGATTAGTGGACTATGTCCTGACATGATTCATTGGCTGTTCATACCTTTGACCTCTAACCCAAACATGTAAACAAATAACAATTGACTTATGCCATTCATCAACTATGGAAAGGTGAAAGTAGAACATGAAATATTTATTGCACATTTAAGTTTAAGCCATATTGTTTTTTTTACCCTCCATTGGAGAGAGAGAGAAATTGGGCTGAATGTCCATTCGACACAAACTAGGTCATTTCAGGACTAACATTGTTCAATTTTATTTCAAAATTTACTTATTTACAAGATGGAGGCAATTGACTCCTTCGTCAAGGGACATAGAGTTTGTTTATTATTATCTTGAGAGAGAGAGAGAGAGAAATGGGGTTTAACGTCTAATCGACACAAACTAGGTCATTTCGGGACTAACATGTGGTTTAATTTTTTATTTCAATAATGCGCTTGCGCGTAGGGGTCTTTAGCAGTGGGAGGAAACCGCAGGACCCAGAGAAAACCCATAAGGTTGGACAGGCGACCGTACATCTTGTCACATACATCCGGGGATTTGAAACCACGCCAGTTGACGCAATAACAGGCCTTATGATACAGCGCGCACATGCTAACCATTCGGCTATCCAACCCCCTATTATTATCTTGAACATAGTCATATACATTGTAGTATAGCCTAAATGACAACAGTCAGTCTAGTAATTACCTCATAACCCACATATGACTAAGATTACAAAGAAGAGATAAATGATAACTTTATGTTGTCTAGTCTTCTACATAATATTTCTAATATGTTGATCGCAACCTAGACCAGATTAAGGGTGTTCAGACTCGGCTGGGTGCCCCAATATAAAAGGGACCTGCAAATAAGTACTAAAAAAATTTGTACCACAAAGAAATATGTCATTTATTATATTGTATATGTTTATGCAAAATAAATCTATCTATCTAACAAACTGAAAAACAAATTACTTTTGTGTGAGTCAAGACAATGACCAGAATATGTCCACCTTTCACTGTTGATGCAAGGGCCCCTGTGACATTTTCATCCAGGGTCCCTTTCCAACCTCAAGCAATAGGATTACCTGACCCTAACACTTGTCAGCGTGTGGGAGGAAACCAGAGAAAACCAACGAGGTTGGAGAGGCAACCCTACTCCTTGTCAAACACATTATCTAATTCAGGCCACTTGACCTAATTCAGGCCACTTGACCTAATTCAGGCCACTTGACCTAATGAGAGAGAGAGAGAGAGAGAGAAATGGGGTTTAAAGTCCACTCAGACACAAACTAGGTCATTTCGGGACTAACATATGGTTTAATTTTATTACAATAATTCGCTTGCGCGTAGGGGTATTAAGCAGTGGGAGGAAACCGGAGGACCCGGAGAAAACCCACGAGGTTGGACGACCCTACTCCTTGTCACGTACAACCGGGGATTCAAAACCACGGCAGTTGACAGGCCTTATGATACAGCACGCATGTGCTAACCATTCGGCCACCCAACACCCCACCTAATGACAGACCTAAAGATCTAACATACACACAATTAAACCATTCAGCCACCCAACCCCCCGATATTCAAGGAACTCTGAATAAAGCAATACTTACAATAATTTTCCAATATTTGCATCTCCCTGCGCCTGTTTATATTCCTCAGTTTGAAGTAGAGTTGTCTGGCCGTGATATTTTGAGTCCCCCAGTCCCATAGCAATGCCTTACACGGACTACCACCTCTCTGATATTCCAACTCAAAACTTTTTATATTTTCAAAAGTATAACCGGCTTCACTAGCTGAAAAATAAAATTATATTTCAAAACATCTTTAAATCTGGTCCACAATTTATTTTTTTCATCCCCTTGGCTTCGGCTGTCGGTATGTAAAATCCAATCAGAGATTTCAACTACATGTATCCTCAGGTATGGAAATGAAATGAAATGAAATGGGGTTTAACGTCCTACTGTTCTGCTCCGAACACGCCAATGTGTACATGGGATCTCGGTTTTTCGGCCCAACCGAACGACTAGACAGCTGTTCTTGTCAGGCCCTCCGTCCTGCATCACTGATAAGGGAGGAACCAGGCAGGAAAATCACGATGATCTTTCTCGGCCAATGCAGGAATCGAAGACCTGACCTCCAGACTAGCAAGCCAGCGTCTTACCCACTTAGCCACCGTGATCCCCCTCGGGTCTGTCATGGAGTCAAGTGGGGTGGATTCTTTTACCAGCTTATACACATGGCAAGAAATGTGATGGTCCGTCCAACCTCGTTGGTTTTCTCCAGGTCCTCCGGTTTCCTCCCACAGCTAAAAGCCCCTATGTGCAAGCGTAAGTTTTCTTCAGTATATATACACAAATTTGAAACATTATCTGATAATAAAAGCAGAAGTAATAAATATACAATACAATAATCATATGTATATAGAGAGAGAGAAATGGGGTTTAACGTAAACTCGACACAAACTAGGTCATTTCGGGACTAACACATGGTTCAATTTTATTTCAATAATTCGCTTGCGCGTAAGGGTCTTTAGCTGTGGGAGGAAACCGGAGGACCAGGAGAAAACCCACGAGGTTAGACAGGCGACCCTACTCCTTGTCACGTACAACCGGGGAATCGAAACCCCGCCGGTTGACTCAATGACAGACCGTATGATACAGCACGCGCGTGCTAACCATTCGACCATCCAACCCCCCCTTATGTAAGTCATATTTTCATATTATATACTATTAATACTAAGTGTATGTACTAATGAGATTTTAATCAGGGGTGTCTCCCTTCTGTGTAGATATATAGGGAATATTAGGTGTTTCCCCCTCACTAATTGTTTGGGTTTTTTACGGGGTTTTTGTGTGTATGAACAATGTACTACTAAGATTCTAAACATGGGTGTCTCCTAACTTTCCTGTGTAGATGTATGGGAAATATTAGGTGATTCCCTTCACTAATTGTTTGGATTTTTTTTGTCTATGAACAATGTACTACTAAGATTCTAAACATGGGTGTCTCCTAACTTTCCTGTGTAGATGTATGGGAAATATATGGGGATTCCCCTCACTAATTGTTTGGGGTTTTTTTGTCTATGAACAATGTACTACTAAGATTCTAAACATGGGTGTCTCCTAACTTTCCTGTGTAGATGTATGGGAAATACTAAGTGATTCCCTTCACTAATTGTTTGGATTTTTTAAGTTTTGGGTTTTTTTTGTTTTAGTGTATGAACTATGTACTAATGAGATTCTAAATATAGGTGTCACTGTCTAACTGTTGTGTAGATGTATGGGGAATATTAGGTGATTTCCCTCGTACACTGTTTCTGTTTTTCTGTTTAATTTGTGTATGTTCTAATGAGATTTTAAACATGTAGATTTAAGGAATATTTTTTTTCTTTTTTGGGGATGGGTATTTGTGTATGATTAAAAATTAACCAGATTTTAAACAGGGGTGTCTCCCTCCTGTATAGATATAAGGGGAATATCAATTACGTGATTCCCCTTAATACGGCACTGGGTTATTTTGGGTGGTCTTATTAACCTGTTAAGCGTGACATTTTTAAAACGTTAACTACCCCCTATTGTGTAATTAATTTGATGAAGTGACGAAGAAGTATGTACTATGTTCTAAGAAAAGGTTGAGGAAAATACCTCCAAGGCATTATATTACGCCCTACACACAGTGAGTGGCAGTTGTCCAGGACGTAATATAACGTCCTACATATGCTGCGATCGTGGGGGAATTCCCAAGGGATTCCCCCAAGTGACGAACTATGTTCTAAGAATAGGTTGGGGAAAATACCTCTAAGTCCAAGGCGTTACATTACGCCCTAAACACAGTGAGTGGCAGTTGTCCAGAACGTTATATAACGACCTACGCACTTAACAGATTAATAGTTATAAATCCGTTCCACATCATTTTGAAGTTTTGTTGAAAAAAGAATAATTTAAAAACAAAAATACTAGTTTTTCTAAATAAAACATTTTCCATGAGACTTTACTGGTATTTTATTTATCAAGCCCCACCCCCCTTCCACCTTCCCCAAACAACCTAAAAATTAAATTGGATCAGCCTTATATATAATCTATTCTTTTTATATTACATTCAATATAATATATGTATTTGAATGAATGAGGTTTTAAAAAGGGGCGTTTCCCTCCTATGCAGTTTACCGGTATATTATGTAGGATTAGGAAATGAAATGAAATGAAATGAAATGGGGTTTCACGTCCTACTGTTTTGCTCCTAAACTGGGCTAATGAAGACGGGCATACGTCATACAGTGTGCTATGAGGGAAATTTTGCACGGACAGCGGCGCTACGGTCTACTCTTATATCGAATTCCAACTGCCAAGGGATCTTTTACGTGCACGCCAATTTGTACACAGGACCTCGTTTTTTATTCCATCGGATCTTTTACGTGCACGCCAATTTGTACACAGGACCTCGTTTTTTTGTTCCATCAGAATGACTAGACAGCTGTCCTTGTCAGGCCCTCTGTCCTGCATCACTGACAAGGGGAAACCACGCCGGAAAATCTGGATGAACTTTCTCGGCCAATGCAGGGATTGAACACCCGACCTCCAGGCTAGCGAGCCAGCGTCTTACCCACCTAGCCACCGTGATACCCGGTATATATAGGAAATACTTGATTTAAATTAGGTGGTTCCCCCATACTCATATACACTGTAGAATAAGGGGGTTCCCCTAGGCATATGAACTATCATGCTCTTGCCTACCAACTAGAAATAGAAAAGTCACTATGTAACTATTATTATCATTACATGTGTCATATCTTTTATACAATGTATTTCCAACCTTTATTGTCCCTCCCCCCCCTTAGCTTACATTGGGTTGTATATATAAGTTCTGTCATTGAGTCAACTGGCGTGGTTTCAAAGCCCCGGTTGTAAGTGACAAGGAGTAGGGTCACCTATCCAACCTCATAGGTTTTCTCCGGGTCCTCTGGTTGCCTCCCACTGGCTAAAGACCCCTACACACAAGTGAATTATAGAAATAAAATTGAACCAGGTGTTAGTCCCAAAATGACGTGGTCTGTGTTGAGTGGACGTTAAACCTCATTTCTCTCTCTATATTGGGTTAATTTTACTCCCCACTCTTTTTATTTAAAGATCTATACATTATGGGAGATTAGATAAAGAGCTGGCATTTCTCACTATAGTTAAAGATAGGTTGCCAGGCAACAAAACATACGCCCACAGAAGCTAAATCGTCCGGGCAGTCAACAAGAGTTGTCGCATATTTTTACTTTTTTTGGTAATGAAACATTTATATTACACTAAAATCTGATTAAGTTCAACAACTCATGAAGTAATTATCAGAAAACCATCTTGTCACTCAATGAATTCATTTGACTTGACCCTACTTTCATTTTATGTTATTGTTTGATTTGTTGATTGATATGCTTTGATTTTTCTCTGAATATAACTGAATAAAAGGCACAGAAAGGTTGATACAGCTAGAGGTTGACTATAAAACTATTTTGTCAGTACCATTGTTCCCACTAAACTGATTTTTCAATGTGCACGATACCGGTAATGTTAAAAATAAAGTGCTTTGTTTCGTATTACTTTACTCAATATTACGACTGAAATAGGCAATAGGCATACATATCCATGTATTTAACTCTTACATAATCTAATCTATCTAATATATACACTAACAGTAACAGTTGACATCCTGCATATTCAGTGATGTAACGTTGACCTTATAGTGATATCCTGGTCAGAATATATCATTATGTCATGTCCTAAACATCAGACATAAATGGGAACCACACCTACATGTATTAATATATTTTTCAATGACTTTCAAAAATCAAATGGCATTTATTCAAGAAGATTCTAGATCTAAAATTCACTACCTGTGTTTGTTAATATTTGCATACCCTAGGTAGACTGGGTGGCCGAATGGTTTTAACGCATCATGTGGCATGGTTTTGATTCCCCACTTGTATGTGACAAGGAGTAGGGTCACCTATCCAACCTTGTGGGTTTTCTCTGGGCTCTCTGTTTTCCTCTCACACCTAAGAGCCCTATCCTCAAGCGAATCATTTCAATAAAATTGAACCATAATATGTTAGTCCCAAAATGACCTAGTTTGTGTTAAGTGGACGTTAAACCTAGTTTATCTCTCTCTCTCTCCCTGCTAATCCTAATCCTACTATACAGAGCTATTTATGTGTAGGCTACTTTCATTTTCTCTAACTTTTTAATTCACTGAAAAGCAACATGGTTTCTTTATCTTTCAATTCACTGGAAAGCGACATGGTTTGTTGGGTTTTTTTAACCAAGTGTCGAATATCTTAGTAACTAGTATTGTTTAGATTGGGTGGAGAATGTACATTACTCAAGAGCTAAATCTGCCTATTTTAGGGTCCTGATCCCTTAAATGTTATATTAGTTATTAATTAGAGAAGACCATAATCAAAGGCGATTTTACGAGAAAACAAATCAGTTTCAATTACCTATCTCGTTTTGTACATAACGTAGGTCTTGAGTTGGTATTCGAATCGGTTCTCATAAACGCGACGAATTGCCTCGCAAGATGGCTGAAGACTTTATTCTGTTCTTGAAGACATCGCCCAAAAATAAAAACGAGAAGTTGTACCAGTTGCCTGTTCCCAAATGTCCCGTGTTTGTATTAGGAATGTCCATGATATTCATATTTTAATGTAAAATTCAAAAGAAAATGAACTAACGTCAGGCACGTCGTGTCGCTTGTGGGGGTTGCCATCATAAAAATGGAATCGACAATCTGGCAGGCGAGCAAGTTGGAAGATTTGCATAATCAATTTGGCTAATCATCGTGGTAAATACGACAATCAGGTGAAACCAATTCGTCTAATTTTTGCCGTAAATGTTTTTCAATAGGATTTGCAAATCTAATCGGCTTCTCGTAAAAACGTCTCTATTCTCTATTACATCAGATGGCTCTGATTTTAAGTAGATAAGAACGGATCGGACATTCAATTATTTAATTTAGAAATCAAGTAGCTTGATTTGTCCATATCGGCTGACCACAGTTCGGCAGTTTTGTGGCGAGGTGACTTGATTTAACCGGAAGTCGACAAAAGTTTGGCTGTGGTGTATGCCTCATGCACTGCTTTGGAGGCAGCAGCAATCACCTGCGTAAGATGGTCAGGTTATTTAGGAATGCCATAAACCACTAATTATAAAGCATTAAACATTAACCAAATGTTTTGAAGTTGAACTGGAGCTTCGTAAAACCAGATGTTCATATGTTATTTACTGTTTCTCAGTAATATTACTAATAATAATTTTCTGCTTATTTTGCACACTCAGCAAACCTCGGCAGATTCCATTACTCTACATCTAGTCTCGACTGAATGAGGGTAAGTGATATGTATATACGCCTATACAATTCCCTCATAGCACACTGTATGGCGTATGCCCGACTTCATTAGCCCAGTATAGGAGTAGGACGTTAAACCCCATTTCATTTCATTTCCATCAAAATATAATTTCCAAGAAAATTTGGAAGTTTTAACCAAATCCACCATAATTTAACTCATATCACAATAATTTTTATAGATATTTAAAATTATGCTGAATTGTCATTTTGAAATTATAATTGTACCGTAACGTTTTTGTGTCAATGTTTCCCCTCAAGTTGCAATTTCCAGGCAAATTTGGAAGATGTCACCAACCGACATAAGTCGTGTATTGCACGAAATCTCTTCTTTGGAAATTGCATGGAGGAAATTGTATTTTGAGGAACATTTTTGAAACAAAAACTTTATAATTCTAAATTAAAAATGACAATTTGGCACAATGATGAACAGTGTAGGGCCGACTGACTGTATAGGCTAACATAAATTATTAAAGGAGCTAAATCGCTAATATTTTGGGCCTAGAAATTGGCACAAATGGGTCGCAACATATATAATAATGTAATATGAATTTAAATTAACTCTTTTACATTCAATCGTTTCCGTTTTACTGTGAATTGTCATCAGTTATGTTCGGCGAAATACGCCAGAAGTCTCAACCGAAAGACAGTTTCTAGCGTCTGGTTATTCAAGTCAACACCGATAGTATATATTGCGCATGCTCTCCAAATAAGAATATGGCATCACCGTTTGACATGACTTGTGGAATATGTCTAGCCTCATTCTTTGAGCACCTTGTTACAAATGGCGCTGAAACACATCATGGTACACGATTCGTGTACCAATGGTAAATGTTTATTTTGTCTTAAATATTGGATATCAGAAGCCCATCTTTTCCAGGTAAGACCACAACACAAATGCTGATTTAAATTGCAAAAAAAATCGTGTTTTCAATGTCGAAGATTTTGGATGATATTGAGTTACGGACTTAGCTACTTTAATACCGGTATATATGACTAAAATGAGTTGAAATAATTGTGGATTTGGGTGATTTGGGGTAAATCCAGCTAACACACATGATATCCTGACAGTGACAACAAGTTTGCCTGATTATCATTACAAAAAGAAAAGTCTTCCTCACAATTTCTGACTTCCTCCAAATGCGTCGTCTGCACTCGCCTAGCCCTTGACAAGTACGAAGTAGACAATCACAATCCGGGTGTCATCTCACGAGTCACATATTAAGTCACAGTTTCGAATGCTTCATAATTCGAGGATAATAATGTAAAACTACCATTTAAAAGAAAAAGGATATTACCTAATGCTTCCCAAGACTTGTCAGCATCCATGGACCCATATATAGCCCTTGTGACGCTGTACGGTAAGTCGTAGATATAGTCTTCTTGCAGTAGCGTACTTCCCATGTCGGCCATATCCAGGCGCCGTAGACTACAACAACAAGATAAAAATACTTCACCGTTAACCTGGTTAAGAATGTAACACATGTTTTCAATGGCTGGGATATCCCGTGACGTAGCTGATGAATATTTATTAAATTCTACTTCCGGGTTGAATTCAGTATATCTAATTAATCGCACAATCAGCGACACACGTTTACGCGGAAATACATGTAATTTGCAAATTTTTATGTCTTTAAAAGCAGAAATATTTGTGCGCTACGCTATTAGTTCCGCGCCGTCTCCCAAATATCAATTTCGCTCCGACGGGCTTTAATGGAGTAGCAGTGCCACTAGCAGTCGATTTAATTTTTTTATACATGTATAAAAATTATAGGCCTGTATAAGTATTCCCGTGATTTGTGTATTTAATTTATATTGAACAGTAGAACGTTAAACCCCATTTCATTTCATTTATGTTTTTATATATATACTTATACATTATATTTGTATTGTATGTTGTCTTCAATAGATGTTTTGGTACAATAAAATCTTATCTATGTTATGTTGCGTTTTTAAAGCATGCAAATTTAATGTTGGCCCATCATTCTTTATGTTTATTTTGTTCATTAAAATTTTAGACTGGACGTAATTAGTTGGGTTTTGTTTTTCTTTCGACATTTAACTTTAACATCCACGACTCCCCAATGCATTGACTCATGAGTGTCTTGGTGAACAAGATATCGCAGTGACAGCATCGTGCAAGCGGTGTGTGTGCGGGGGGGGGGGGGCTACGTATACTTGAAAGACAATGCGCAGGGCATTCATACTTCAAAAACAATTAATTCCACTTAAAATCAGAAGAATTGCAATACAGAGTAAACTATTCAGGGTTCTTGAAATTTCTGCAGTATCTATCACATTGGTTTCTTTTATAGGGGGTCTAGCTACTAGTCGTTCGGGTGGGACGAAAAACCGAGGTCCCGTGTAAACATTAGCGTGCACATAAAAGGAAATATGAAATGGGGTTTTACGTCCTTCTTTTCTGCACCGACTGGGCCAATGAAGACGGACATTCGCCATACAGCGTGCTATGAGGGAAATTTTGCCCGTACAGTGGCGCTACGGCCTACTCTTATATCGAATTCCCACCGCCAAGGGATCTTTTACGTACACGCCAATGTGTACACGGGGCATCGGTTATTCATCCCTTCCGAACAACTAGACACCAGGCCTTCCGCCATGCACCCCTGACAAGGGCTAAATCCCGATGAACACGCATAAAAGAACTCTTGACAGTTGGAATTCGATACAAGAGAAGGTTGTATAGCACCGCTGCCCGGGCAACATTTCTCTCGTAATACACCGTATTATACCCGTCTTCATTAGCCATATCGGAGCAGAACAGTAAGACGTTAAACCCCAATTCATTGAACTTTTAATTTCCGCCGTGTTAGTATTGGTGGACAAGGGGTTTACACTCAGGCAATCGGATTATTAGGATAGACAGATAACGTGGAAAAAAAATATTGGGAAAATTTGGTTGCCTTATATAGTCGACGCAATAAAGTGCCCTTTTTAAAACCGATGATATTTTGGTCTGGGGCCACTCTATGACTGCTTTCGGGAATAGAACATTATTCGTTTCATCAATTTTTTTCCGGAATCAAAATTTCGTTGGATTGACTAATGGATACAAATTTTAAATCGGCGTTTTAAACAGAGACTAGTCTCTCCGATCTGATCAGCAGTGAATATTCGCGTGGCCGCTACAATCACTGAAATGTGCTATGAGGGAAATTTTGCCCGGACAGCGGCACTACGGCCTATCGAATTCCAACTGTCAAGGGATATTTAACGTGCACGCCAATGTGAACACGGGACCTCGGTTTTTCGTCCCATCCGAAGGACTAGACAGCTGTCCTTGTCAGACCCCCCCCCCACCTGCATCACTGACAAGGGGGAACCACGCCGTAAAATCTAGATGAACTTTCTCGGCCACACAATCACTGAAAGCGGTGACATCGGTGCGGGTTAATTAGCTTACAATATTAACTGATTTCCTTCAGTAAATTAAATTCTAAAACACTTTTGTTGAAGTAGGCCTATTAGAAAAATGGTGTAAATGGGTACATAAAATATACTATTCAAAAAAAGTAGGGGATATTTGATTTTGGGGGCATAATACTAAAATATGCAAATGACTACGAAAAAAGTCACTATAGAACCTAACAGAAGAAACATTTCCAGTTACATGTGACGCCCAAACGCACCAATAGCTACCGCATGGAATGCAGGTGATGCTTGGGGTCATCATGGGGGTCCAACCCAAGATTTGCACGACTCTGACTTTGAATGTTACAGTCATTGTGGCATTGAATTCCAGGGTGGAAACATCAGTTTAATTGTTTTAGTGACCAGAAAACAAATTTTGATATGCGTCGGCTTACCCAAAATGAAAGATTACGTGCCCTCGGCATGCTACAGATCGGCACAACACAGGCGGTTGTGGTGCGGACGATGAATGTTTCTCAGTCTGTCATAAGCAGGCTATGGTCCAGATACCGTGATACACAATCTGTACAGGACAGACCACGCTCAGGTCGACCAAGGGCGACAACTCAAGCCCAGGAACGATTTATCCGTACCTTGGCCTTGAGAAATCGTGTCATCACAGCAAATCAGATCAGCGCTCGTCTTCAAACAGACACTGTTGTGAGAGTGAGTGGCCAGACGATTCGGAATCGACTGCATAGGGGTCACCTTCGCGCCCGACGTCCTCGCGTGATCCCTTGTTTGAGAGATCATCACATTCAGGCAAGACGTCGTTGGTGTAGGGATCGTCAACACTGGGATAATCGACGCTGGAGCAATGTGATGTTTTCAGATGAGTCAAGGTTCACTGTTGATTTTTTGGACAGACGTAGGAGGGTGTGGCGTCGTCGAAACGAGCGCTTCCAAGACGTTAACGTCATCAGACATGATCGATTTGGGGGTGGTTCTGTTATGGTGTGGGGAGGCATCACTGTTGCTGGAAGAACGGCTTTACATGTTGTTGCAGGGCGTGTTACAGGCCGCCGTTTCATCTTCCAGGATGACAACGCAAGATGTCACAGGGCCAGGATCGTTACAGGTTACCTCCAACAACAGAACATCACCACATTACCTTGGCCAGCACTGAGTCCCGACCTCTCCCCCATCGAGCATGTCTGGGACATGCTTGGACAGAGGTTACGTCAACGTCAACAACGTCCTGCCAATGTCCAAGAACTTGCTGCTGCGTTGCAACAGGAATGGGACAATCTGGACCAAAATGACCTTAGACGTCTCATTAGGAGTATGCCACGTCGGATCAATGCTTGTTTGGCAAACAGAGGAGGATTTACCCGTTACTGACTTGGTTGTGATGCTGTGGTAACTTTGCTGTTTGACCCCGGGTATCATTTTACCCTTATAATGGTCAGTCTGTGCCTTACTTAGTCTAACGATCATTTGGAATAAATCGATGAATGTGAACTTCATTTCATTTTGTCATTTGTTTCTTCGTCAGTTTCATTAGGTGACTTTAATAACACTTAAAAATCAAATATCCCCTATTTTTTTTGAATAGTATAGTACGCGACTGCGTAAATATGGAGAGAGAGAGAGTTCAAAATGAATATATTGAAAATTTAATCCAAATTAATTTATTCTTAGCGAAGTTATCACTATTTGAAGTTATGCCAAATGTGACGTAGAATGTTTATTATCGTAGCTGCTAAGCAACGGGGGCCATTGTGTATCAAGCCCCTTAAATCTCGGACAAAGGATGTCCTAGAGAGTTCATTATGCAGATTAAACATCACTGATATAAAATCACTTTGAAATTAACGAGAAAGTGAGACAGAGAGAGAGGGGGGGGGGGTAACGTCCACGTACAACCGCGGAATCGATACCACGCCAGTTGTCTCAATGACAGATCTTGTGATAGGTAGAGAGATCCTGAATAAAAATATTGTTTACTAGCAGGATACCGGAAGTGGTAGACTAACGCCACCTGGCCTATGTTACTCCCCGGTCCGAGCTACCCCTTTAACCCAAATTTCAGACTCGGGGCAGACCTAGTGTAGCCGCCAACCCCGAACAGACCGGCTTCGCTCGGGGGTCATAACTCCGAAACCGGAAGTGGTAGACTAACGCTACCTGGCCTATGTTACTCCCCGGTCCGAGCTGCCCCTAAACCTAGTGTAGCCGCCAACCCCGAACAGACAGACTTCGTTCGGGGGTCATAACTCCGAAACCGGAAGTGGTAGACTAACGCCACCTGGCCTATGTTACTCCCCGGTCCGAGCTACCCCTATATCTCAAATTTTAGAGTCGGGGCAGACCTTGTGTAGCCGCCAACCCCGAGCAGACCGGCTTCGCTCGGGGGTCATAACTCCGAAACCGGAAATGGTAGACTAACGCCACCTGGCCTATGTTACTGCCCGGTCCGAGCTACCCCTATACCCCAAATCTCAGACTCGGGGCAGATGTAGCCGCCAACCCCGAACGGACAGACTTCCCTCGGAGGTCATAACTCCGAAACCGGAAGTGGGAGACTAACGCCACCTGGCCTATGTTACTCCCCGGTCCGAGCTACCCCTATACCCCAAATTTCAGACTCGGGGCAGACCTAGTGTAGCCGCCAACCCCAAACAGACCGGCTTCGCTCGGGGGTCATAACTCCGAAACCGGAAGTGGTAGACTAACGCCACCTGGCCTATGTTACTCCCCGGTCCGAGCTACCCCTATACCCCAAATTTCAGACTCGGGGCAGACCTAGTGTAGCCGCCAACCCCGAACAGACATACAGACAGACAGACAGACAAACGATAGTCACAAATATATACTATTCAAAAAAAGTAGGGGATATTTGATTTTGGGGGCATAATACTAAAATATGCAAATGACTACGAAAAAGGTCACTATAGAACCTAACAGAAGAAACATTTCCAGTTACATGTGACGCCCAAACGCACCAATAGCTACCGCATGGAATGCAGGTGATGCTTGGGATCATCATGGGGGTCCAACCCAAGATTTGCACGACTCTGA